AGAACGAGGCGTTCATTCGCAACAACAGCTTTGACGATGTTGTTCCCCTTTCCGGTGTCAACATCGTCGGCGGAAAATGGATCTTCTGAGTCAAACAACTCCCAGGCAAAGCTCCACTGTTCAAGGCATGATACATGGCGAAGGGTTTCACCCAGAAGGAGTATCTCGACTTCTTCGAAACATTCTCGCCCACGGCCAAGCTCCCGAATGTGCGCGCTCTTCTTGATATAGCCGCTCGCGGCAACTTCAAGATCAAGTCCATGGACGCCTCCTCCGCCTCTCTCCAAGGCCAGCTCAAGGAGGATGTTCACATGGAACGCCCACCGGGGTTTCCTGGCACTTACCCTGCCAACACAGTGTGGAAGCTGAAGCGCCCAGTGTATGGCCTCAAGCAGGCTCCTCGTGAGTGGCACAACAAGGTGAAGGAAGTCCTCCTCGCACTTGACTTCCATCCCTCTGCCTCAGATTCCAGTCTCTTCGTTCGTCACTTCTCCGAGCCCTTCTACATCCTCGTCTACGTCGACGACTTCATTCTAGCCGCCAGAGATCCAGCCGACATGGCAGCTGTCCAGTCTGCTCTCAGCTCCGCCCTTCTCATGAAGGATCTTGGTGACCTCAAGAACTACCTGGGGATGGAGATCACTCGTGACTGCCAGGCTTGCACGATCACCCTCTCCCAGGAGTCCTACATCGACAACCTTCTCAAGCGGTTCGACATGGACTCCAGTAACTCTGTCTCTACTCCAATCCCACTACAGCATCAGCTCACGGCCCCTCCAGTTCCTTCTCCTGACGCCTGCAAGGACCCGTACCCTGAGCTAGTCGGTTCACTCATGTATGCCATGATGTGCACTCGACCAGACTTGGCTTACCCGGTTAGTGTCCTCTCTCGGTACGTCTCCCCCGGACGCTACACTGCCTCGCATTGGTCTGCAGCCAAGAGGGTCCTCCGCTATCTACAAGCCACCAAGTCTCACATCCTCACTCTTGGTGGTACCTCTCCAGTCAAGCTCGAGGGATACACAGACTCCTCATGGGCCGATGACCAGACTGACAGACGCTCCTCCCAAGGGTACTGCTTCACCCTTGGTAGCGGAGTCATCAGCTGGCGCTCCACTCGGTCCTCTGCAGTCTCCCTGTCGTCCTGCAAGGCCGAGCTCTACGCGGGCACAATGGCTGCTCAAGAGGCACGCTGGCTCTCCTTTCTCCTCGCTGAGTTAGGCTACCCCCAGCAGTCGCCCACCCTGTGGTGTGACAACCAGAGTGCCATTCATCTCACCAAGGATCCTGTGTTCCACTCTCGCACCAAGCACATCGAACTTCGTCATTTCTTCATCCGAGATCTTGTTCAGAGTGACCAGCTGACGGTACGGTACATCGCCTCAGATTGCAACCTCGCCGACCTCTTTACCAAGGCTCTCGGCAAGGCTGACCACCATCGCCTTCTCCATTCCATGGGGCTATGTGCTCCTTGACCGGGTTTGCAGTCTATGGGGGTGTGTTAGAAATAGACTGCAAATACCACTTTTGTATTTGTACTTTTATATCCTAGTTTAGGTTGTGAATGTTCTAGTGGGTTGGAGTTTCGATCGCTCGGATCGAACAGCTCAGATGGGCGCAGTTTCGGAGCCTCGAGAAACTGCTGCGACTGCTGCGTCATCGCCGTTGTCGAGACGTGCTGCGCTCCGGTGAGTCGAGTTACTCGCTCGAACTCGTTTCGCCACGCTTCGCGATCCGCTCGCATCTCCTCCCGAAGGGCTGCGATGCGCGCGAAGAGCTGTTGGGTAACTTCGTCGTTGTCGAAGTTTGCCATCCTATTCAAACACGCGCGGGGGGGGGGGGAATTCGAAAAATCGCGGAGCTGGTGCTTACCAGAATCGGCGCCGAATTGGTCGCCCCCGGTAGTTTTTCGAGGCAGGTTTTCCCGCTGCTGCTGCTTTGTTGAGCGCGGCCGAGTGAGAAAAGCTCTGATTTCCAAGTGTCACAGGATCGAATGACTCGAGGAAAGATTGCACTATCGATCAGTACAAGGCGCTTTTATTCTTCCAGAGTACATCAGGTAACTAGGTTTATCTTATCCCAAGGGAATAGACCCTTCTAGAATATATAAATCACCCTGCGTATAGCCACGCGAGGCTATTGGCTTTAAGGGATTACGGCAGGATTACGCTAGATAGAGCGTGCCAGTACATCCCAAGCCTGGTCGGTGATATAATTAGAATAGCAGGAGGAACAAATGATAATGGAAAATGGAGAATAGGAAATCAAATGAGGTGAGATAAAAAGAGAGATGAAATAGAAAGAAAAGAGAAGAAGGGACGAGTAGCGTATCGGGGTCGTACTCTCACACTTTCCCCCCTCAAAGCTGGGTGGTAGAAGTAACACCCTGCTTGACAAGGTAGTCATGCAGAGGACGACGGGCGTTATCCATGTCGGTCTCAGGTACCCAGCTGTCCTCAGAAGGATCATAACCCTTCCAATGAATAAGAAGCTCCACGGTGCCATTCCGACGACGGCGGTGTGCAAGCATGGACTCGACCTCGTACTCGGGTTCATTCTGGACGAGGATGGGCGCTGGCGGCGGCGGTTGGCGTCCGACGAAGATCGTATTCGGATCCCAATAGGGCTTCAGAAGTTGGACATGGAAGGCTTTGTGAATCTTCCAGGTAGCTGGCAGGCGTAAGCGGAAGGTAATAGGAGTGACCTGTGCTTCAACGAGAAAAGGTCCGCAGAAGCGATGTGAGAGTACGACCCCGTTACACCACTTGTCCCTTCTTCTCTTTCCTTTCTATTTCCTCTCTCTTTTTATCCCATCTCATTTGGTTTCCTATTCTCCATTTTCCCTTATCCTTTGGTTTATCCAGTTATTCGTCAAGATGGACAGACAGAGAGTGGCCATCCTGCTGCTGACCAATGAGGTGGCGACGAAGGTCAGCATGCCACGCATCAAACTCAATCGGCTGGCCCTCAGCGTCAAAGCGAAGCACCTCCGCCATCAATGACAATAGAGGGCAATGGAGAGCACTACAGTGCGGCGCAGTGTGGTACAGTGCGGTGCAGTGTGGTGCGATGCAGTGCAATGCGATGCAGTGCGGTGCAATGCGGTACAGTGCGGTGCAGTGCGGTGCAAGGCGGTCGAGTACGGTACCAGGGGGGTTCGCAGGGCAGTGTTGATCGGGAGGAACGGGCCGAACCCGAGGCGGCGGCGGGCTGGCGACGACGCGAATGCAGGAGCCGGCTGGCGGACGGCAGACGCGAGGGGCCAGCAAACTGCGGCAACGGGGCCGGCGAGGAGCTGGCGCGACGGCGAGTAGGGCCAGCCACGACGGCGAGGAGACACGGCCGCGACGACAGCCAGGGACAGCCGCGACGTCGGCTAGGGGCGGCCGCGACGGCAGGAGTGACGTGAGGCGGCTGGAGACGGCAGCGACAGCAGCTAGGGGCGGCCGTGAGACGGCTAGGGGCGGCCTTGGGACGGCAGGAAATGGGCGCGACGGCCAGGGGGTGGGGGGGGAGCGGCTAGGGACGAGCGCGACGGCCAGGGGGCCGGCTAGGGATGGGCGCGACGGCCAAGGGGCCGGCTAGGTGCGGACGCGACGGCCAGGGGGCTGGCTAGGGACAAGCGCGACGGCCAGGGGGCCGGCTAGGGGCGGACGCGACGGCCAAGGGGCCGGCTAGGGGCAGACGCGATGGCCAGGGGGCCGGCTAGGGACGGGCGCGACGGCCAGCGGGCCCGCTAGGGGCGGACGCGACGGCCAGGGGGCTGGCTAGGGACGGGCGCGACGGCCAGCGGGCCAGCTAGGGGCGGACGCGACGGCCAGGGGGCTGGCTAGGGACGGGCGCGACGGCCAAGGGGCCGGCTAGGGGCGGACGCGACGGCCAGGGGGCTGGGTAGGGACGGGCGCAACGGCCAGGGGGCCGGCTAGGGGCGGACGCGACGGCCAGGGGGCCGGCTAGGGACGGGCGCGACGGCCAGGGGGCCAGCTAGGGGCGGACGCGACGGCCAGGGGGCCGGCTAGGGACGGGCGCGACGGCCAAGGGGCCGGCTAGGGGCGGACGTGACGGCCAGGGGGCCGGGTAGGGACGGGCGCAACGGCCAGGGGGCCGGCTGGGGGCGGACGCGACGGCCAGGGGGCCGGCTAGGGACGGGCGCGACGGCCAGGGGGCCAGCTAGGGGCGGACGCGACGACCAGGGGGCCGGCTAGGGACGGGCGCGATCGCCAAGGGGCCGGCTAGGGGCGGACGGTGGCTAGGGCCTAGGGGGCGGAAGCGTGGGTGGGCTAGGGGAACCTAACCTACTATGATACCATATCAGAAAGAATAATTGAACTAGAATGTTGAGTACAAGGGTATATAGACTAGGGTGCTGTACCCTCTAAGGCACAATCCTGTATAGTCTACAGTAACGACCTAAGTTACATTTGACAGAAGAGCCACCAGCGTCAACCGCTGAACCAGAGCCTGCTGCTGACGCATTCGAGCCACTGCCTCGCATGACGTTGGCACAACGCATCTCTGCCATGGAGGAAGATTATGGCGACTCGGCTGCTGAAGATACTGACGGGGACCAGGAGGATGAAGAGCCAGAGCATGTAACGTGCGGCAAGTACGAGTGGGTGTGGAAGAAGCTGTAGGCGTAGAGGGTATCCCAACAGTCTTATGTAGCCCTGTGTACATTAGCTCTGTGGAATCTGCAAGCGCGCCAAGCTCGAGCACCTCCCTTTCGAGTGTTTTTCTGCCGCCGAGTCGTGGCCAAGAAAGAGGCGGTAGGGCGAACTGCAAAGGAGGATGTTTTGCACCAACACGTAAGATAGTAGTATATTTTGATACAAAAGGCTATTATTAGGGGTATCCATCCTACTACTAATGCTGGACCAACTAATGCAAAGAAATGTGACACCAATTTGATAAGGATGCTCTAATTGGTTTTTTGTTGTAGGAAATTCGTGCTTTTTCTGTTGTGCTTTTCCAACAAAAAGACTCCCCAGTATCCAATGCGCAACACCGCATAGCTTGCTGGCAGCGGTTGAGGAGCACGCCTGTGACCGATGGTGGGCGGCGGGCCCGCCATGGGGTCGGAGGCGGAGCTCGCGCAGCTGCGAGCCGCCAACGCGGATCTGCGCGCGACGGCGGGCGCGCTGCACGGGGAGCTGCGCGCCGTGAAGCACCTCGCCGTCGCCGTCGCGGCGGAGCTCGACGCGTGGAAGCGCGACAGCGTGCCTCGTGCCGAGGCCGACGAGCTGCGGCGGCACGCGGAGATGTGGCGGGCGCTGGCGGAAACGGCTGGCGGCGGGCGAAGCAGTGAGGGCTGGGGGGGAGTGGAGTCGGTGGAGAAGGTAGGAGAGGCGGATGTTGAGCGCGTGTTCGGCGAGGGGAAGAAGCGGGCGAGCGCGGACGCGGAGATGGCCCGAGAGACAGTGGCGCGGCTGGCGCGGGAGAAGGCGGAGGCGGAGCAGCGCCGGGAGGAGGAGGCGGAGGGGCGCAGGACGGCGGAGGAGGAGATCGGACGGTTGAGGTTGGCCCTTGAGGAGGCTGAGAAGCGCGCAGAGGAATGGAGAGAGCAGGCGGAGAGATGGCGGAGAGAAGTAGCCCGGTTGAGGGGAGAAGAGGGGGAGGGAATGGGGGGGAAGGAGCAGGGGCAAGTGGAGAAAGGGGCAAGGAGTGAAGTGGAGGCAGCGGAGGATGCAGGAGGAGGAGCGAGGGGCAGCGGTGGCGAGGAGGGCATGGCAGGGAGGGGGGCCCATGCTGAGTGGGGGGAGCAGGCTCGGGGAGGGGAGATGGGGGCGGGAGGCAGCGTGGGCGGTGGGGTGGCGGGGCTACAAGGGGGCGGAGGGGAGAGGGATGGGGCAGTGCAGGCAGAAGAGGAGGCAGCGGTGGGGCTGGCGGTGTGGGATGCGGTTGAGGTGGGTGATGGGGGGATGGGGGACGGGCAGGCATGTGCGAGGGAGGGAGAGGAGCGCAGGGATGCGTGGGAGGTGGAGAGAGGGCGAGAGGAGGCGGAGGGTTGGGGGCCGAGAGACGAGGAGAGCATGGTGAAGGTGGCAGTGCAGGGAGAGCAGGCGGAGGGGCTGACCCAGGGAGAGGTGGGCCGGGTACGAGGGCAGGATATGGGGGAGGAGGCGGAGGGGGGGAGAGGTATAGAGTGGAGGCACAAGGAGGAGGGCGAGGAAGGCAGCGATGAGGCAATGAGGTGGCGGCAGGGGGCCGTTGAGGGGATGGGGGACGCAGAGTGGGGAGGGAGTGAGGGTAGTGAGACAGAGAGGGCGAGGAGGCCATGGGGTGCAGTGGTGGGTGAGGGCGAAGGTGCAGGCACGCACGGAGGCAGGGAGCAGGATGGATTGGCGGCGGAGCAGAGCAGGGGCGAGGAGGAGAGGGGTGCGGTTGAAGGCATGGGGGTGGCAGAGCGGGTGATGGGCGAGATGGTAGGGGCGAGGACCGCCCTGGGGGACAGGGAGGTGTGCACGGGGGAGAGAGAGGCGGGTGCGCGGCTGAGGGCGGTGGGGGCGGGCGAGGAGGGGGAAGAGGAAGCGAGCAGGGCGGGGCAGCAGGGTGGGTCGAGGGAGGCAGAGGCGGAAAGGGGAGTTGGCATGGGGGAGAGAACGGAGGCTGGGAGAGGGGCGCACGCGGATGTGGGGTGGGGAGAAGGGGATTCAGGCAAGGTGGAGGAGTGGGAGCGCAGGATCCAGAATGCAGAGAGGGGGGGCGTGGAGGCGGGCAGTGTAGGGGCAGGCGTGGAGGGTAGTGGGTGGCATGCAGATGCATGGCAGGCACATGCTGCAGCAGCAGGGGGTGGCTGGGAGGTGGGCCTCGTGGCAGGTGGTGCTGACAGGCAGGTGCGGGCGCTGCCAGTGCAGGAAGAGGGCAGTGTGCCGTGGGCAGAGGGGCGCACGGCACTGCACAAGACAAGGGGGGGAGCAGCGGGTGCAGAAGAGAGAGTGGCCGAGGTGAAGGAGTGGGGCACTGTGCAGCAGGAGGCGAGGGAGGGGGCGGAGGGGAGGAGCTGGGCGACGCAGGGCAGGGAGCAGCAGTCAGCGAGTGCTCAGGAGGATTGTGGGAGTGGTGACGGTGCGGAGGGGAGAGGGATTTCGGTGTGTGTGTTGTGTGAGCGAGAGGTGAGGGATGAACTGGTGCCGAGGGACGTTGAGGGAGGGGACGAGGGCAGTGCAGGCGGTGCAGGCAGGGAGGACGGGGAGGGGGCAGCAGTGCGAGGGGTGCATGGGATGGGCGAGCTGATGGAAGAGGGGGGTAAATGGAAAGGGGGTGCGGCGGGCAGGCTGAAGGAGCGTGCAGGGAGTGAGAGTTGGGGAGTGAGGGGGAAGGGAGATGCGCGAGAGAGTGAGAGGGAGAGTGTTGAATTGGAGGTTGCGATACGTGATGAGTGGGATGGAGGCAAGGCAGGGAAGGCGATGAAGAGAGAAGACGAGGACAATACGGGGAAATGGGCAGAAATGGATTCGCGCGAGGTGGGAGTGGAGGAGCATGGGGCAGCGGAAGAGGGTGGGTCGATGGTGGAAGAGGCGGCGATGAAAGAGGGTGTGGTGGGAGCGGAGTGTGAGGAGGAGGAGGTGGCACGCGTGCGAGAGCAGATTTTGCGCTTGGCGGTGGCGCTGGCGGTGGTGGACGTGGGCAGGAGAGCAGCCGTGGCAGCGCGGGATGCGATGCAGAGGCGAATGGGCGAGGCGGACAGGAGGAGGGAGAAGGCAGAGAGGGAGAGAGAGAGGGCAGAGAGGGAGGTGGAGAGATTGCGAGGAGACATGTGGCGGGAGGCGGAGGGGAGACTGAGGTTGGAGGAGGAGAGGGATGAGGCGGAGAGGAGGAGGACGGTGGGAGAGGAGAAGGCGGTGGAGGAAGCGAGGGGACGGATGGAGGCTGGCAGTGGGAAGCAGCAGGCGGAGAAGGAGAGGGAGGGAGCAGAGGCGGAGAGGGAAGCGGCGACGAGGGAGAGAGAGTGCGCTGTGAAGGCTTTGGAAGAGGCTGAGAGAGCAAAGGCAGAGGCGCAGAGGAGGGCGGAGGAGCTGGAGGAGCAGTTGCTGCTGAGAGGTAGGGACGCAGACACGGAGGTGAGCGGGCAGGGAGGGCTCGCTGGTGGGGAGATTGGGAGTGGCGCGAGGGCGGTGGCAGGGGAGGACATGTCGTGGGGCGAGATGATGCGCATGATGCGAGAGGTGAGCGCGGAGCGGTGCGAGGAAGAGGAGGAGGGCGCGGAGGAGGAGAGGGGTGCAGAGGAGATGGAGAGGCGGTGGAGGGCGGCAGAGGAGGAGAGGGATGCTGCAGAGAGGCGGAGGGAGGAGGTGGAGGAGGAACTGACAGCAGCGGTGAGGGCGAGAGCAGAGGCGGTGGAGAGGTGGGGCGAGATGGTGAGGCGCGTGGAAGAGATGGAGCGAGAGAAGGAGGCGATGCATGGGGAGAGGGCGCGCATGGAGTGGGCGCTGAGGGAGGCGGAGAGGGCCATGGACGAGGCGGGGAGAGCCGTGGACGAGGCCGAGGAGGAGAGATTGCAGGCTGAGAGACGCGGGGAGGAGGCTGAGAGGGGGAAGGAGGCGGCAGAGAGGGAGAGGGAGGAGGCAGAGAGAAGAAGAGAGGAGGCGGAAAGGGGAAGAGAAGAGGCAAAGTGTGGAAAAGAAGTGGCAGAGAGAGGAAGGGAGGAGGCAGATAAGAGAAGAGAGCAGGCCGAGAGGGCAAGAGAGGAGGCTGAAAGGAGAAGCGAGGAGGCAAAGCGTGGAGTAGAAGCGGCAGAGAGGGAAAGGGAGGAGGCGGAGAGTGGGAGAGAGTGGGCTGAGAGGGAAAGGGAGGAGGCAGAAAGGGAGAGACAGAAGGCTGAGTGGGAAAGGGAAAAGGCAGAGAGGAGGGCAGAGGAAGCACAGAGAAGGAGAGAGGAGGCGGAGAGGGAGAGAGAGAGGGCTGAGAGGGAGAGGGATTTTGCAGAGGCAGCGAGAGCAAATGCCAAGAGGGAGAGGGATGAGGTGCGCAGAGAGAGGGAGAAAGCTGGGAGGCATGGCCGTGGGAGAAGAGCGCGAGTGGGTGAGGAAGTGGGATGGCAGGGAGAGGCGGGTGGGGAGTGCCGGGAGGGAGTGCCGTTGGAGGAGATGAGTGCGAGCAGTGCACCTGAGGGTGGGAGCGCATGCGGTGAGGGAGGTAGAGGGGTTGTCGTGCGTGCACATGGTGCGGGTTTGCATGGTGCGTGGGAGGACGTGGCGAGCAGCGATGGCACGGGGATGGGCATGGATGTGCATGCAGGGGTGAGTAGCGGCACTGCCACTGTCCGCTCTGCCTCAGTGCCTGCGAGTGAGGCGAGCGCGGCAGTGGCTGCGGCACTGGCATTGAGCTCAGAGCATGGTGGCAGCAGCAGTGGTGATGCGATGAGCCAGGAGGAACTCATGGATAGTGTGATGGCAGCACCGCTTGGGTGGCACGGCTCAGCATCCCCCCACCACTACAGTGCCAGCGCCTCCTCTGCCTCGCCTGCCGCCTGTGCTGCTGCCATCACTGCCTCCCATGCCTCCAGTCGCTGCCTCGCTCCTGCTGCGCCAGCCAGCTCTCGCTGCTCCCACGTCTCTCCTGCTTCTGCTCCCGCACACACTGCTGCTGCGCCTGCCCCCCCTGCCCCCGCCATTGCTCCCTGGGCCGCCCCTGTGCCTGTGAGCCCAGGGGCAAGAGTGGGTGAAGAATCGCAGGCATGGGCAGCAGCAGTGAGCAGGAGAGTGAGTGCAGTGGCGGTATCATCCCAGCCCCACAGCAGCCACAGCCCCTCCTCTGCTGCCATGCCTGCACACGCCATGCTCCCCATTCGTGCCCCCACTGCTTACCCTCACCTAATCCCTCAACACCCTCTCACGTCCCCTCTCGCCAATGCTGCTGCTGCCAGTGCTGCTGATGTGGCGGCGCAGATACGGGCAGCAGAGGGCACGTGGATGGGGCAGGTGGGGGAGGTGCAGGGGCAGGTGCAGCAAGCAGCGGCGGCATGGGCCAAGGTGGACGCCAGGGCTGGCCTCGTGGAGGAAGCTGCCAGGCAGGTGCTGGCAGAGGGAGAGGAAGCGGAGGAGAAGAGGAGATTGGTTGAGGAGGGGATGAGGAGAGCGGAGGAGGAGAGGGGGAGGATGGAGGAGGAGAGGCGGGCAGTGGAGGGTAGGTTGAGAGAGGAGGTGGGAGCAGCACAGGAGGAGGTGGCGCGCGTGAAGGAGGCGGCGGCCACGCGGCAGGTGGAGGTGGAGCGCGCCATGGAGGGCATGCGGCAGCACGTGAATGCACTCACACGCTCGCTGCTGGCGTCCGAGGAGCAGAGGAAGAAGCTCGTGGCGCTGTTGAGGGTGGCAGAGAGCTACGGAGGTACACTGCTCCGCCCTTGGAGCTACCTCCCTATCTCTGTGTGCTCTGTTAGGAGCTACTTCCCTGCGCATGTCATGGTGTCGCGGACCCGTGTGAGGAAGCCCATGCGGCTGGCCTGAGAGCAATGTGCGTGGGTGCTGGAACTCCCCCCCTCCCTCCATTGTCGTGGCACTGAGTCCACGGCAAGTGGATGTGCCACATGTACATTCGTCCTGCCCTTGCTCACGCTCTTCCACTGTCTCTTTGCGCCCGTCGCCGTGTGCGTGCGTGCAGGATTCGATGAGCCATCATGGTAGAGGTTGTGATGGGTGTTCTCAAATGGGAGACTCTGGCTACATGGTTCAATTGAAATGGACGGTTTTTAAAGTGCGTGGTCCAAGAACGATCAAGATGTTAGAATGAGAGAATCGAACTAGAATGGGAGAGTACAAGGGAATATAACCTAGAAGCTGTACCCTCTAAGACACAAACCTATACAGTCTATACAAACATAACAATATATGTTTGACACACCCCCTAAACTGCATAGGAGCAGTTCCTAACGAGAGAACGAGCAGCTCAGGGTGGCACTACTAGTCCGACCTCTGAGGCAAGGGTCTAAAGACCAGTCAAACGAGTACAGACCAAGCCAAAAGCAAAACCAGGGTGGCACTACTGGAGCCAGCCACTGGAAGAGGCCACGAGGCCAGTCATAATAAAATATATAAAAGGTCTGTACACAGTCAAGGCCCTAGCAAGTGAGAGGCTACAGGAACAAGCCCTAGCTGTACAGAGTGCCGCTGATGATCTTTAGGCGCAAGCGCCTTCGTAAAGATATTAGCTGTGTTGGCACCGGAGGCCAAGTGTACTACACGAGCCTGGCGGCGCTGCTGTAGCTCACGCAGGAGGAAGTACCGCAGCTGGATGTGCTTCGCTCTGCCCTCAAGTCGCGGCTCCTCACACAGGAGGATCATGGACCTGTTGTCAGCGTACAGAACCGGGGCAGAGCTAGGCCGCTCACCTAAGTCAGTGAGCAAGAAGGTCAGCCAGCAGAGCTCCTGTGCCGCCATGGCACCGGCGTAGATCTCCGCCTCACAGCTGGACTGGGCAACAGACGAGGAGCGAGTAGCTCTCCACGAGATAGCACCTGAACCAAGGCTAAAGCAGTAGCCCTGCGAGGACCTAAGGGTCTCGGCGTCGTCTGCCAACGAAGCGTCTATGTGCCTAGTAAGGACCACTGGCCTGCGCCCTCATAGCACTAACCCCATGCCGGATGTACTTGCAAGATAACGCAAAACCCTCTTAGCGGCAGACCAGTGCTGAGGTCGGTGTCTGCCTGTGGCCACAAAACGAGCCAAGATGCTGAGAGGGTATGCGAGATCTGGGCGAGTGCAAGTCATCAGGAACATGAGGCAACCCACCAGCTCTGCGTATGGGCCACTGGGCTCTACTGACTCCTCAAGAACTGGAGCAGAGAACATGTGGTCTACAGGCAGAGGGGTGGGCTGTGCAGAGGAGAACTGAAGGCCGAACCTCTGAAGGACCTGGCGCACCAAGTGTGACTGAGTGAGGGTGACGGTGCGCGCTGCTCTATCCCTGGAGATCTGCAAGCCAAGGTAGTGGCGCAGTTCTCCAAGGTCAGTGCAGGTGTGTCTCTTCAGCAGCTCTGCTTTCACCAAGGCCAGTGCGTCCCTGTCTGCAGTGGTGAAGACCAGATTGTCTACGTAGACAAGGATGTAGAACGGAGTCTGGCCAGCACGAACGAAGAGCGAGGGGTCTGCACAGGACGGAAAGAACTGCAGGTCAGCAAGGGTAGCACGTAGTGTGTCGTGCCACTCACGGGGAGCCTGCCGCAGGTCGTAGACGGGGCACTGTAGGAGCCATTGGGTCCAAGGAGGGAAGGTACCAGTGAAACCCTGAGGGCGGCGCAGGTAGACCTGCTCGTGTAGACTGCCCTGAAGAAACGCAGTGGAGAAGTCGAGGGAGTGAAGCTCGAATTCACTCTGAGCTGCTACATGTAGCAGCACCCAAAGAGTAGTCATCTTCGGGGCCGGAGCGAAGGTCTGAAAGAAGTCCACCCCCTCATGCTGACTGAAGCCTCTAGCCACGTAGCGCGCCTTTAACACAGGCGGCTCTCCAGGAGGGCGCTTCAGCTTGAAGAGCCAGCGGCCATCGACTACATTTACCTCAGATGGGGGAACTGCGTCGACGTAGGTGCCGGTGGATCTCCAAGATGCCATCTCCTGCTCCATGACAGCTATCCACTGAGAGGCCCAAGGTCCCGAGACCGCCTCAGCGTAAGTGCGAGGGGTCGGGATGTCGAAAGCGTCTGGGTCACCCTCAGGGACTAGCAGCATGGAACAGAGATGGGGAGCAGCCTCGGACAGGAAAGCAAGCTCGTACTGGCGGTCCTCCAGGACGTCACTGCTGAGGGCAGGAGCACCCCCGATAGACAGAGGACAGGCAGGGTCGGAGACCAGAGCGGTGGCGTAGTCAAGGCGGCGGGTAGAGGCGAAGTCAGCGACCGCAGCGACAAGCGCGTCAAGACGCGAAACCGGAACAGATGGGTCGATAACAAGAGAGGCAAGGACCCGAGGAACAAGATGACGAGCGGCACGAAGGTAGTCAGACAGAGGGGTAGGCGCAACAACAAGGGAGGACGGAGGAGGCGACGGTAGGAGGGGAGGACGAGACGCGTGGGAATGAAGCAACATAGGGTGAGAGTGCGGGAGATGGGAGATAGGGCGAGCACGGGAGGGACGGCGAGACCAGACGTGAGACGGAGGCGTCGGGTCAGGAGACAGCGGAGGGGACACAGGAGGGGAACGAGGGGGAAGACGAGTCGGAGTCGAGTCCGTGGGAGGGAACACAGGGCCGTAGATAGGGAGAGGAGGAGGCGACAGGCGAGGCGCAGACGCAGGGTCTGGGGACAGAAGTCTGAGCAGGCGAAGGACTGACACCGGCGGTGACTGCGGCTGCGGTGGCACAATACCGACACCGCGGCCGCAAGCTGCTCCACGGCTACCTCCGGAACACTCCACTCTTGCAACCCCAGAAGGAACACCCCCAGAGCCCAAAGCCCCTCGAGCACCGGCACCACCCCGAGGCCCGCTGGGACAAGCCACGATAGGAACCTCAGGACTAGTACCCACCCCAACGCCAGCACCCCCAGAGTCAACGAACTGCTCCTGCGACGGCTGCGGCGGCAGTAACGGCAGCTGCGACAGTGGTAGCGACGTCGGCAGCGGATGCGGCAGAGGAGGAGACACCTGGGGACGAACGGGCGGCGAGGACTGCGCCGCAGAACCACCAGAATCAGCAGACTCCTCGACCGAGAAAACCGACGTGAGGGGGGTGACGTGGGACACACCAGACGATGCAGGACGGGTAGGGGGAGGGGGAGGGGCAGGGGCCACCGAGGAAGGGGGGACCAAGAAGAGGGGGGGAGTAACCGGGGGACCTCAGTGGGGGAAGCGGCGGTAGAAGGAGACGGACTCGTCAAAGGTGACGTCGCGGGAGTGAAAGAAACGGTGAGACTGCGGGTGGTAGAAGTGCCAGTCGGACGAGTCTAGGGGGAAACCGAGGAAGACACAGGGGAGGGTGCGGGCAGTGAGCTTGTCCATGCCAGAGGCACGAGCGTGAGCAAGGCAGCCCCAGACGTGGAACGCAGACGCGTCACCAGGAGACCTCGTCCAGAGGAGGGTCGGCGAAACCTGCGGCTGCTGGGGGTGCGGCCACATGTTAAGCTGGTGAGCGGCATAGCGAACGGCGAACGGCTACAGAAAATGGGGTGCACCGGCATGGATCATGGAGGTGCGAGCCACCTCCATGACCAAACCGATGCGTTGCTCAGCGACCCCATTCTGCTGCGAGGAGTCCGATAAGGTGAACATATGGGTGATGCTCTCCGCACGACAGAAAGGACCAAGAATGCCGGAGGCAAACTCGCCACCACTGTCAGAGTGGAGACGCAAGACAGGGAAACCGCGGTGGACACGCGTAGAGACAAGCCATGGGATGAGAGCGTAAGGCACATCGGCCTTCCGCTCCAGGGGAAAGACGGTGGTGTATCGGGTGTAGTCGTCGATAAGCACTAGGAAGTAGCGCTCTCGACACGGCTCATGGACGGGGGCGGGGCCCCAGACGTCCATGTGCAAGGTCTGTAGCGGTGCGGTGGTAGGGGGGAGCGAGGAGGAGTGAGGGGCACGGTGGAGCCGGCCCTCGACACAGGGCGTGCACGGTGGTGCTGGGGAGGAGGGCAACTCGGGGAACGACCCTGGGAGACCTAGGACTATACCGTGTTGTGACATGTGACGCATACGCGGGAGGGCATGGTGACCTAGACGGTGGTGCCACAGTAGTGTCGGGTGAGTAAGCGACCAACACGAGCAGGCAGCAGCAACCTGGGTAGACGCAGACACCTGAGGGGACATCCCAACCGGGGGGGTCACGGTGTCCAGTGTGAACAGTCCAGACACCGGGTCCAGGGGGAACGTGGTGAGGGGAGCACCAGTGGCGTCCTCGGTACAGACAGCGTACCGCTCGTGACCAGGGAACATAGTGGTGACGCCAAGGTCCTAGAGACAGCAGACACCAACTAGGTTCCTAGAGAACGAGGGGATGTGCAGGCCTGTGAGAGAGCCCGAAGGAACCGCCGGACAGGGAAGGGTGGTGGAACTGCGGGCGACTACCGGGCCGGAGGAGGGGTCGGCAAGGGAAACTGCAGTAGGAGCAGGAAGCGGCGTTAGCATAGTGGAGTCGCGAAAGAGACACCGAGAAGCGCTAGAGTCCAAGGTGAAGGAGAGCGTGGCAGTGACGTCCGGAGTCGGAGCAGCGACAGAAGAACCAAGGCTAAACAAAGTAGGGGATCCTACTCCTCACGCAGCAGGGGAGTTACCACTAGACAGGCCTACACTAGGCAACAAGGGATAGTAAGAAGCAGTCGCACTAGAGTCATCAGCATACATCACATGCAAGGCAGTAGCAATCTCATCCATGTCCATATAAAAAATCTGAACGCTACAGCGAAGCAAGCTTTGCCGGTCGGGAAGGTTGGGCGCCGGGCAGAAGCACTGACGAAACAGGTCGTCCAGGCGACGGAAACAGCGGACGGAGGTGTGAGCAATCTTACCGGTCTAAAGCCGGTACCCGTCACCCGAACCGCCACCCGACAGTCCACCACGCGCATGACCACCACGTCCAGCGCCACCACCAGCGCTAGGCCACCCGGCGGGAGACCACCCGCCCGCCTCTGCTGCTGCGGCTTCTGCTGCTAGTGCGAGGGTTGCTGCTGCGGCTGGTGCGTGTCTGGCTGCGACACCTGCTGCTACTGAGACGGCTGCTCGGCTGCACCTGTTAGGGTCCCCTCGTCAGCGCTACCACTAGGCGACCCGATTCCACCACCACCTCCATCAGCACCGCCACCCCCACCGCCGCGCCCAGCCTTGGGGCGTCGGCCCTTCCCGGAACGGATCTGCGCTGCAGCTGCACACTCAGCCAT